ACACAGTCAAGTTGATTGATGAGTTTGTGAGTCTTCATCGACTGAGATACCGTGGACTTGTACTGCTCATGCCGAACCACCACCTACCTCGACGTGCCAAGCTACAGACAATTGGATTAGGTTGGAAGAGGTTTCACGGTAGCTAGACGAAGACGTGGCAACAGTCAGTGAAGTCCCTGTCTTAGTCTGAGCTGTATGGGGAGATGTAGATTTCCTGACTAAGGTCTCCGACATGATAGAAATCAGTGGTTGAGGACTCAGTGACATGGCTGCCAATTGATCATATTGGTGCAGATATATTCATTCCTTAACGTGTTGTTTATGTTGAGTATTTACATTAAAGGTTATGTTTCGCTTTTCTATCCTCTTACAAAATCTTGTCTACTTTAATGTCACTTTTTCTGTCAACCTGTTCTTTAAATACTACTATGGAGTGTGGCAACTTGAGCCGATAAACTTGTATGTGTGAGGTTCTACGTTGATATTTTCTGTCTAGTCTGCAATCTTGTGGTAGTATATGCACGTCTTTATTTGTGCTATAATGAGCACAGGAAACAGAAAAAAGCGAAGTGTCGACTGAAGTTGACGTAGTGTGTCTTTTTAGAACGGATAGCTAAACATTTGTTTGAATAAGACCACATTTCTCTTCCTGATGAAATCTAGCGTCAGGCATCATCATTCTGGGACCCAGCAGTAATGTGTAGCAGTTCGTGTTACCACGTCACAACAGTAACTCAAGGTAGAAGGCACTAGAAAAAAAACAGTGCTGGAAAGCCGTAAAAAAGGGGATTAGAAGGAATTAAAAAATAATGAAATTCGGCATAATAATGGAGATGATGATTAATGGTAACATATACGTCACTGATATCAATTCTGAGACGTGTCACCTAAATGTCTACTATCAAATGAGTGTAGAGCTATCGTACTCTTGAACGAGGATGAACTTCAGACGTAGACTCTTTTTAATGTGATTGACACTCCTGGTACGTAAGAAGAACGGAGAAGCGGTCGTCTACCAGGGTTGCCGAGCACATTCCAAAGAGTCTACATATCACCTAGAGTCTGTAACCACTGCTTTTGGCCCTCAATCAGCCTCCAACTGGGCAACCTGGATTCCCCCACACGGCTGAGACTGATGGTCAAAAGCTTCATAGACTGATGCCATCTTCTAGTCTTTCCGCCTTCAACCTTTCTTCGGCCTAATCCAAATTCAGCTCAATGTGGTAGATAATGACTAAGCATTTTCGACACTTCTCAGTTATCGGAGTTGATGAAGGTTCACGGCTTTATCAACTGACTCACCTCTTTCACCCGAAGCTACGCCTGACCTCTACGTTACTAACGTGGTGGCACCGTGACACATGCTCTTGCGTATTATTCAATCTCCTGTAGAAACAGCGACAAAGACGACTGCGTGCACTTAAAGGTTAATAGAAACCAGTGGACTTCTGAAACCTATATATTTAATGCAAGAGAATTTGTCCCATGACTCTGACCACAATAAGAAGCGAAAGTAACTAAACCATCGCTGAAAGTGATGGTTCCATGATAATGTCTTGTGGCTAGAACGTTGCGGAGAACAATCTGAATAAAACTTCAACTGGCATACATCTGTGCTTCAGTTGCCCAGCTTCTAATCCAAACCTGAATGGAAAGTAGATGTCTGTAATCCAACTCTTCTCGAAGTTGAGAAGGCTTTTTCAAATGTGAACCGATCAAAAGCAGCAGAACCTGGTAGTTTGCTATCAGTAGCTTTTAAGGACCGATGTCGCAAGTCGCTCAGCAGAGTATCCGAGATAATAACTGGTGAATGGTAACCTGAATTAGTCCCGTTAGACTGCTACAGATTGTTAACTATTCTAGCTGATGAGAAGAGAGGGAGAGAGAGAGAAGCCTTTTTGTGATATCCTTGATGGGATCATTTTGAATAACCCTGGGATCTTTCCTTAGACTCATAGTTATACTACGCATAACTGAAGTTCACGAACAATAAGTTTGATGAAACCAGGTATATTCTAGGTCTGCACGAGGACGCACTGATCAAATATTACCTTTCTGATAGGTTCTGGAACGCAGGCATAATTACTTGCGGCTAACACGTTATATTTCTTGACCTGAAGGCAGCATTTGACTCTGGCGACCGAAGAATCCTGTGATAGTATCTGACTGTGAAGGGAGTACGGGGCAAATATATCATACTGTTTAAAGCTCTTTACTTGAACTTATGCAGTCGTGTAAAGGTTTATGGAAAGCTGTCGTCTAGTTTAATGACTTTTGGTGTCCGCTAGGGATCTGTGCTATCAGCATTCTTGTTTAGCTTCGTTATAGACGTACTGATGGATATAACCCTGGGTGCCTCCGACTCTAGAGGGATTGAACTATTTCCTGATGGGCACTTGATTGACTTGGAGTACGCAGAAATAGCTTTGTTAGGCGAAAACGCTAACAAAATGCAGAGTCTTCTAGAGCACCTTGAGCAGACGACAGGATATATTTGGGATACATTTTATACCTGTCATGTGTAAGATGATGCTTCAAGGCTGGTCTGCAGCTACTCTTAATTTAGGTATCGGGAGTAAGGTGGTACGATGTGTCAAGCACTTTCTTTACTTGAGAAGTTGCAAATGCTCTAATGGGTTGATTGCCGACGGTATCTCAGCCGTTACACAGAAAGTCTGTTTGGCATTTTCTAACTTGTGTCATTTGTAGTGCTGGCGAAATATCCGACCATTTATCAAAGGACGAGTATATTGCGCTGCACTCTGCTTTGTCGTATTATACGGCCGTTGAAAGTAAATATGAAGATATCACAGGTTTTCGAATATATATGTCTTCAGAGCATTGCTCATGTATGGTGGATTCGCTATGTGACCAGTGCCTAGGTTAGGTGAAGCGTACTTGGCAAGGAATACAAGTCAGTCGATAGGGTTTTGAAACTTCACTGACTGAGATGGCTTGGATGTGTGTTGCGCACGCCGAGGCACCGCTAACCTCGATGTTCAATGTTAGCCGAAGTAGCACTAAGAAGACTAGTGGTGATAAGATCAAGATGTAGTACTAGTCAATGAAGTCTCTGACTGTTTAGTTGGAATCGTCAAGACGATAACATTCAATGAGTGGAAAGTTTCGATGAAATGTCTGGCTGAAAATCGACCACTATGGTGCAGATATATTCACTCTTCGATGTCTTGCAATGCTGGAACATTTTCACTAACCTCGATTTTCAAATTTCTCTTCTTTTCATACACTTGTTTACTTTGAAATAGCTCTGTTTGTACCCGTTTTTTCTTTGTATTCTGGTTTGACATGAAGCAACTTGTACCAGTGCACCTCTCTGTGGGGTTTTTCGTTGGTTTTGTATGTCTATCTGTTTGACCTGTTACGTTTTCAAAATGAGGCTTTCATTGTTCTGCGACACGAAATAATCTGTGTAGGATACTTTATGAATGATAGCATCACAAGGACAATACTTGGAACATCATTTTCATTCTCTTGCTTCTTCGTGACAAATATCTGCGCTACACGTTTTCATTACTGATAGAAGGTGAAATCTGAGCCATTGTTTTAACTTTGTAAGACTTTGTAAAGAGTAAAGACTAGCATTTTTAACGGTTGCATCTTTGTCAAGTTATAAGGTGAAATGTGATAGTCATAACAGGTATTTGAATTTGCTTGGTTATATGTGATACTTTAGATAGTTTTTACTATCTTCCTTCGTCATCGTTTGGGATATATTTTTGTTGGATGTATTTCAACTTAATTTTAGTGTAATGCACCAAAGTTATCGGAACACGAAGGTCTTCTGTAACTCCTAACTGGATGTTCATCGATCAGAGGCTTAAGTTTTGAAGCTAGCTGATTTATTAAAAAATGTTTACGTAGCATGTGCTTCGAGAATTTACTTTGGCTATTGTTTCACTATTGGGATAACAGGCAAATACAAACACTGACTTCACATTTCAAAAGGTTATCACTCACCAAAGGTCGTTCAACTTTAAGAAGCATGTTGGTAATGATCATAGTTGCATCAGTTATATCTGTTTCAAGCGTCTGTCTGAATTTCAAGCCACAATTTGACCATTTTTTGTCATGAACTTCGTATCTCTATCAGTTTTTTGGAGCTTTTCAAGTGACGTATTGTCAGAAAGAATTTTTCTGAAGCGACTAACACTGGGATAAACACTTGACTGCTTCTATAAATGTTAGTCTAACATACTTGAATAATGGTAATTTACATTTTCAACCAAGTGGATGTAAAAAAACTCCATGACACTGGGCCAAGTCATCATTAAATGTGGTATGATGACTGAGGTGATATTTGAAAGTCATTTCATATAACAACTAAGCACTACTTATGTATGAAACCCAGTGTATTTCTTTGGCCTACCTAGTTCATTTGAAACATAAATCAACAACTATGACATAAGATCGTTAAGCGTAAAATCAGGCTAAACCCAACTAAGATTTATTTTCCAGATAAGAAGTTAATCAACTGTTGAGATGAAAGTCATTGTGAATAACCAATGAATTCTTGTGGTTGATTGTGATACTGAGTACCTAACTACTCCACCATTTATTCGTACAGGGCTTGACGCAATATGCGATTATCAAAATGGAGCTAGCAGCAGCTAGTATACAACTTCTTTTGTAGATCAGTGTCAGTAGTCAATAACACCTGTCTAAAACAGAGCTTTTGAAAATCGGGGAGTTCATAGGGTGGCAAAGGTCTTTATGATAACCCCCTGCCCGTATGTTGTCTGCAGTAAGTTCCACCCATTGTTGTTAAAGTTGTTTTTCTATCTGCCGAATCTGTTGACCGGTATGTTAGGTAGGCTGACGATGTCCTGAAAATCAGCTCTTTTGAATTACTGTCATTGTATTTAGTAATTACTGGTATATATCATGTACTTCTTTCTTTTTAATAATACATCAGTTTTTCTCTAGGGATTGTTTATGTCAGTGTTCGAAATAACTTGTTTATTTTTCATTCTATCCCCTAGATCTCAGTTTTTTGATCTCAAAACTTTACTTGGATTCATTTCCCCCATATCGACAACTAACATTTCAAGGAAGAAGAAAAATGACAAACATAACTGCATTCAACTGTTTCCAACTTAAAAGTTGACACGTTTATTTGAACTTGAGACTAAACATCTTCCTGTAAGGCACAACGAGTTTTCTGCAGGTCATTGCATCGACGTTATGCTCAGTAGAACCGCTACTCGCGTCCCAAGCTTTCTGAAGAGTCGTTTGATTTACGCTCATTGTTCCTCAATAAATTTAGTGACAGAAAAGTTAACTAGTTTCAATCGCTTAGGATTTCTAAGTTGTCGTTTTCATTCGCGTAATTCTAATACAGAATTGGATTCTTCTACGGGAACTTTGGATCATACTAAAAAGAAAGATGCAGTTACTTTGAGCACTGTCGAAGATTTGCAATGTTTCGTGTCACATGTAAGTCCTATCATATTCTGCTATATATTTGCATAAAGTCAAAACAATTACGTCTAAACAGTGCTTTATCAGTTCCTAATTGACATCTGTTACCTTACCATAGTGTTTAAACTTGCATATAAGAACGACCCAACGAGCTCTGCTACCTGGAGCGATAGTTCCTTGAGGATCTACCGTGTCAGAAGGTGTGTTGTAAAGTGGATATACTAAAAGCGGTTACCATCATTGCATAACTGGCTACTGTTGCAATAAGAGTCTGTGAGAAAAGTCGTACAGAGTGTGACAACAGCAAAACGTTTCCCACAAAGAAGCCATTTCAGGCTGATACTACCCTCTCTTTAGCGGAAGAAGGAGTTAGCCTTAAAATAGTTCCCACTCCTGCCCATAGAATTTCTGTTAGCGGTTCGGGATTCTCGAGTACGAATGTAACATTGTTTGATTTCACGTGGAAAAGAAAACAACAAATAGACGGTATGCTAATGGCCTCAAGTACGTTTGATTTGGCCGCTGCAGTCAAGTACCCAGGTTTTTAAGATCACTCCTAATAATCGACTTTCTTTTTCAGCATCTCAAAAGGATTTAACCTTCCACAGTGTGGACATGTTTATATCTCCAACAGCACTCGAGTTTCTTGTGGTTCCCTTCAGCTGGCTTATTGTTGCTTTCTAGTTTTCCTTCATATTTCTGTTATAACGACTCTATGTCTTCCTTAGCTTCTAGCTCTGCAGTCCATGATAACTATTGGGGTTGACTGAACATCATTCTTGGTCTCCTGAAACCGCACTGCAAATTACATATTTGAACTTTCAATGACTGCATCGCCTAATAACTTGGAAAATATGTTCGGTAGCCAGAATTTTGACATTTTGAGCCACAGCTTTACTTTGCGTACGTGAAACGCATATACAACTTGCGTGTGGGTACTAACTTAACCTCACCTGGCCATTATAACGAATCTTCAAGATTAACTCTCGATGTTCAACTAATTATCATGGTCTTTCAGGTCTAGGTATAGCATTACGTCCCACAGCAGAAAACTCCCTGTTCGATTGCATCCCAGTTAATAGTCATATGTTAGCAGCTTGACTGAACAGTGCAGTGAAAACTGAGGGGTAATAACACAGTTCGCTTATACACCCACCGACTGCAACTCGGATGAAGTGAAAGATAAGTTTTACCAAGAACTGATTGGCATTTTACTGAAGGCAAACGTTCATACATGGTCCGGGGTGTTCAACGCATGAGCAAAAAGGCTAAATCAGATAGAAAATCATTGGAATGGTTTCCTCCAGAATTTCAGAAAAGCCAAATGATAATGGCGATCACCTGCTATAACTGTGTCTAAACAACCACCTTTTTCTAACCAGCACAAAATCTAGACGTGAAGGAAGATACCGTGTAACTTACCGGCCACCGACATCAACTCAGCAACATATACAGATAAAGCATCTCGCTATCACTTATCACAAAAGAAGATGAGTGGAAGATTTCTTCTTCCTGGGACACTTGATTGTTCACTGACCATGTGCATCTGCGTTTGAATGCGCATACAAAGCCTACGACTAAAGGACCAATTTGCAAATTATTTACAAATTGTACAGTACACTTTGAAATTTATTAAAGCTGAGTAGTTTTTTGACTGCCCAACTATGATGTCAACAAGGTGCCTGCTGGAAACCACCCAATCAGGATCACAAGGCGCGATTTTTGATATCAAAGTGTGATGAATTAATGAAGCATGCTACCGAACGATATTAGTATTTGAAAACCACTCAGACTGGTTTGTGAATCTCATGAGGCAGATCAGAGTGATGGAAGCATTGGACGACTGTTTCTGTCGTTTGGAATTGAGCTCATTAGCAGTGTGTCTGAATGAACTCAGTTCATACAGTCGAATTGTTTAGATCAACTGGATCCGGTTTGTGAATTTTTCAGATCAACTTGAGTGATGCCTGACTTCTTGTTTCGTTCACTAGTGTATTTCCTTACACATAGAAGACTTAACTGATTTCCCTTCATAAATGGAGCCACTAAACTAGTCTTGAAAAGAAACTGACAGAACCTGGCACTATCTTCAGTTTGCCGTAAAGAAAGCAACTGTGAAAATAGTGACTTACCCTTTAAAAAAGATAAAACATGATCTGTATATCTCAACAGCTTTGTTCTAATTGATGTATGGAGATGACCTTATTCAGGGGATCAGACATTACTATGTATCATTTTACTGCGCCTCACAACAGTATGTTAAGTTCCGAGATAGCAAAAGACAGAGCAAATTATCTAACAGTATAGTCAAAAGTAGTCGAAAGTCATCAGAAGAGTAAACAGAGGAAATAAAATGTGATATGATGATTGGGATGTGGACGCCTCTACATCACTGTCATAGGGTTTGAGCCATGTCACGTAAAGTTCTCAACCATTGGTTTTGCTGTCTCGTACACCTCTCTACATAGCAGAAACCAACAGTCAAAGACTTCATGAACTCGTGTGATGTCCTGGTCTCGCCGTCTGTAACTTTCGCAGCTTACACCTGCTTCGGTTAAAAATGCGTAATGTGGTAAGCGTGACACACCTTAGCCACCTCACTTAACAGAGGTTTATGATGGTCAATGTCAATATGTTTGTTGATTGGTGACTGACCTGAATACCAAGCGTCTAAAAATTCTGTAACATTCTTCGTGTTTCCTTTATCGAGAATTTCCACATTTTCCAAGTTAAATTCATGTCCACAGTTGTCCGTATGCATTGACATGAGCCTTATTACATATTTACAACTCAACGACAAACTCTACAAACAAACAAAAAGATCGTCTATATCAAGGCTAAATGCAAAAGCAGTAATACAAAGACTGGACACTGTGGTACTGCCACCGATCAAATCAAAACTGAGTCCGATATGTAGATAACACGTTTGTCATCAATCAAAAAAAAAACGAATTGTAAAACACTTACAAGTTAACGAACAATATTTTCGACGTCATCAAATTCACGACTAAAGAGGAATCAAGTAAAACATTTGCATTTTTAGATGTTCTGATCACTAGGATGGGTTCGGGGGTAGTCGGAAACTGAAATATACAGAAAACCAACTCATACGGAGTAAATTCTCAACTACAATAGCAACAACCAAAAAGTACACAAAATCAGTTGTATAAAAACATTGTTCAAAAGAGCTAAGACACACTGTATTACATCAACCATGCGGTGAAGAAAAGGAAACTATTTAATGGCTGTTTTCCAGAAGAACGGCTATGTGCGCAACTTCACCAAAAGATATTTGCATTATTCGCCCTCAACTAAGAAACCAGCCCCAAAAACCGACAGACGGATTGTCTTACTGTACGTGAAGAATATCTCCGAGAGCGCAACTAGATTATCGAAGCTTTTTGGAATCGCTGTAGCTTATAAACCCACAAGATTCCTTCAGCTTCTCTTATGCAGGCCAAATGATGCAGTAGCGAAGGAAGACAAACCCAACACCGATTACAAAATAAACTGCAGAAACTGTGAAAAACGTTACGTCGGACAGAGTGGATACCCGTTTCATATAAGTCTACAGGATCATCAACTAGCAGTGAAGCGTCATAGCGTATCTTTGCTCATGTCAATGCAGACGGACAACTGTGGACGTGAGTTTAACTGGGAAAATGTGGAAATTCTCGATAAAGGAAATACAAAGAATGTCACAGAATTTTTAGAAGTTTGGTATTAAGGCCAGTCTTCAACTAACAGACAAATTGACATTGACCCAATCGACCAACCAATAAGAAACAGCAAGAAGGTGAAAGTTCACGTCAGCAAGACAACCAATCAAAATAAGCATGGAGATAATGATAAGACTTTGACAGAAACAACCAGTCACACAAAGCAATCAGGACAATCTACTCAGCAACCTGTGGCGAAAATCCTATAACTCACTTCTCTTTGAAGTTTGTACTGATGTTGTCTAGAGTAACGATGAAAGCTTCAGGATTCAGCTCAGCGAAAACAACACCATCAAAATTATCATCCTGTGGTGAACATAATTTAGTACACATTAAAACAACGCTTATAAAAGTATAACTTCGGTCTTCTGTCTGCCTTATTATACTTGATAGGAAGCGTAGTTGATAACATCCAGCCTGGATAACCCAAATATTTCAACCAGATGAAATTATAAATTCCAACAATAATGAGGAGATAAAGAAATCATAAATACTGTAATATGGTTTATTCAAACAACCATAGTGAACTGAAGATTTTGAAAAATTAAAATGCTTCTCATTCTTGTGAACAAAGCGTTAATCACAGTCGTTACATGTTGTATTGAGTAGGTTATTAAATCTAAAGGGAAATTGAACAAGAGGATCCAACTGGAAAGTTTGCAAACTTTTTAGCAGATTGTCGAACTTCTAAACTGAAAAGAAAACTAGACATCAGTATAAGCATACTCCTATTTCGTAATCGTTTTTGTAGTTTTTTTTACTCATCAATGCAATGAACTATAAAATTTTAATGACGCAACACAGCTGCCATACAATACGTTGTTATAAGCTACACATATTGTTTACAGGTTGATGAAACTATGAATTTGAAACCTTTATAGACACAGAAGACTTCAAACGTTTGGTATATTTTAGAGATTTTTGAAGCAGTCAACAGTTTTCAATCAACTTTTTGTCTGATTAGTGACTCATGATATTACAGTTATTGATAGATTTCTTTTTGACCTCTTCTTTACCTAGCCTGGTACTACAGTAAATGATATTTTGGACATTGATGTACGCCTGCTTCCTTCAGATCTATGTATGATATGTCTAGAAGCTATACTGAAAATTCAAAAACGACCAAATGATGCATTAATTGAAGGTGTTCAGAATACTTTAAGGGATTCTTTAACGTCATGTAGTGACTGGCCTTCAAAATATATAAAATTAGAACATATGACAAGATGGCATAACTTTGACTTAGGAATTAATCCCTTCAATAACTATGAGGAAAATTGCTCATGGATTAATTCTGAACAATTCGATCTACTGTTGTTATCATCTGCAGCTTGTGCAAATACTTTATGTTTAACATCTTTATTAAATTTGGCTGGACATTTTAGCTATTTATGGAATAGATATGAACCAAAAGTATATGTTTCAATTCTTCGTCATGTTCACCATCAGGTAAAATTTTGATCGTTATCCTTCTGCACATTTGTTTCACTTGATTAAGCCTATAGTCTTGATTTTTATTCACGTACATTTTGAGAAATTGGATATTTTTTAGGCTTAAACTTGAAAAAATAGACTTGTCTCAACAATTACATGGAGGCTCGTTCACTAGATTATGAGCTACACGTATTGTATGAAGACTACTGGTATTACTAGCTGACTCAAACTGCTGTAGGCAGAGTTCGATCCAAACCTGTGATCAAGAGACTTTAAGTTAGCGCCGCAAGACATTTGAATTCATTTCGTCCTTTTTAACTTGAAATGTGAGGACCTAACTGAACCGCTATTGTGGTAATGTTAATGGTGATGAATCGGCCTATCGTCCACTTACATTACAGTCAATTAGAACTCATGGCAGTATCAGTGAAATTGAAACATGGTTAGGATTTTAGTGTTTTTAGATAAGTCAGTAGGATGTTGATAGACTAACTTGCAAGATGCTTATTCGAATCTTACTGTAATTCAGGTTTTCTTTGAACCTCAACCCTCATCTCTTTATGCTCAAATGTGGATTTACCCGTGGACTATTGTATACGTGTTTTGTAAATGTCTCTGAATGTTTTACTCCACTTAAATTCACTAGTTTTTTCCTTCTGGATATCCTTCTTCAGCGCCTACTAGCTTTCGTTCCCAGAAGTTGTAGAAAGCAGATCATCTTTTATAGTCATTTGTCCGGTGTAGTTTATTCTGTCGATCGTTGGTTAAAATACTAAATCCATATCAATATCGGCAATTCGCTTCTAAGTAATAGTGGTAAGAACTTTTTGAAACCTATTAGAGGGGCAATAGTAGACAAACAGGTGAAAAAATAGTAGTGTAAAAGTAAAACTTGAGCACTGTGGTAGAATGTGATTCCATTCTATTGATTTATTATATCTATCACAGAGTGGAACAGTATTGTTTACTGGATTACGTTTCGGACACAATTTAATGTCCATAGTCATATCAAGATAACTGCGCAACTTTGAGACATGGTTTATATAGTTCTAATTTTCTTGCCTCCTTTGTGATATGAGTAGTAGGATTTTGTATATACCTGAAACGTGCTGAGTTATTCGTGTTGCATGTATTAGATATTGATTCTATAAAAAAAGATTCAGTCATCAATCTCTCCTTCCACCCTGTTATGTTAGTCTTAAGGATTCTCACTCCATCCCATCCTATTGTGTCGTTGTGTGTAGTTGCACGCGTAGCTATGACCGAGCTTTTTCCTAAATTCTCTATCTTGTTGGGACCTACCAGTTTGACATTTGTGCTTGGATAGTCTGATAGTTATGCATGCAATTACACAAAACCACACGATAGATTGGGACAGAATCAATTAGGCTATCCGAGCACAAAAGTCTAGCTAGGTCGAAATTGGTAGATTCTAGTAAGAACAGGACATATATCAGCGAAGAAATCTTTTTGCTGATATGTGTCTTGTTCTTATTCATGAGTCAAAAAAAAAAATTTTGATGGGTTCGCAAACTATATCCAACGAAAGCATCTTAGTCTCCTGAAGGTGAGCGAGTCTAATCAGCAGTTGTTATCAGCCATCAGTTTTCAGTGAGTTTTAAATGGTTGCTTTGTCCTATTTTACTTATCTTCATCTGGCTATCCCAAGTATCTTTCTCAGAAAGCTTTGAGCCTCATGAAAATCCCATTGGCTTCATAAACTTGATTTCATCTTGATAACTGGCTTTGGTAGACCGATTTATTGCTATGTTGGATGTTGCTTTTACTATGGTACTCTACGTTGGGTTGTGGTTCATTGATTAAGGTAGTTGACCTCCAACCACGTGAGTCATGAGTTCGAACATCACCCCACTTACCGAAGTTTGGGCAACCAGGTAGTGTCACTAACCCCTACACAATAAATGTAGTTCATTGGCTACTGTACGAATTTTCACAAGGTTGCTCAGTGGATTTCGATTTGATTCGATAGCACTCTACCGTAGTAAGTCATTTATCCTAAGGTGTGTTTTGATATTTTGACCTAAATCAAATTCAGGTCAATCATCACTAAGTACTGACAGTTAATTTCACGAAGGGACTTCCTAATTGCAATAAGTTTGAAGTTGTTGGTTGTGTAGTTCAACTTTCTTCGTTGTAATCTTGAGATAAATTATAGTCTTCAACTAGTAAGAAAGCCAATATCTCGTAGTTGGAATTTTAGACCTTAATTCTCCCTTGTTGAAAATGAACTTGGTTCAGGATGTGCCACACAATAATAATCATTGGATCTTGAAGATATAAAGTTGAGACACAAAGAAGAAAAGAAAAATCGAATCAGAAAAGTATGTAAATTAATAAAGTAGCGGTCTAATGAATGCATTCATAGGAGAGTTCATTACTTTTGTTTTACTTTTCGACAGCGAAATAAACAGGAAAAACTAAGCATGATTACCATTGTTCGCAATTCTGAGCAATATCTGATATGACTTGGTAGCTCAAAGTTGTGTTCTGACCACGTCTTTATTTCGTCAATCTCTCAAGGCTGTAAAAACTATAAACAGTATTAAATTCAATAGTACCATTCATCTTCAAACCATGAGAACCAATTTTTCAGGATGATCGTTATTACTTCCGAACATGTACAACCTGACCTGTGTTGATTGTAGCATAATCTCTTACACAACTAAAAACAGACGAACATAGATTCGTTGCATCTCTTGAGCTTGGGGAAGCCCGTTCTCACAGGTATGATTTAGAGCTGTTTTGCACCAGTGTGGGGTAAGTCCAACCTTTTACAACCAGGCTAACGCACCGATGTCACCAAAGATGGTCCAGATTGGTATATACCGTTCTGGTTTTCAATATACTGTTAGAAATATCATCAGCTATTCCACCAGCCCTCATGCAACAATACAGATACACTTTTTGTATACTTGATGAGTAGTAGCATAGACTCCTATCAATCTCTCAAACATATCATTCAGGTTTAAGACCAAACCTGTCTGTTATCTGAGCTACATCAAAGTTCACACTTTGATGGCAGTTATTTTGAGCAGTACATCAGGTTTATGAACACTTTAATAAGATATTGTACTGAAGGACAGTAATGAGTAGTTTAGTGAAATAACAATGAAGGTAAAGATATAAATGGCAAAAACAAGGACATCCTATAAAAACACAGTAACAACACTACGGGGTAAAGACAGTTTAAATGATCAAGTTCATGTTTTAAAGTGTCAGTAAATAATAGCAAGTCAGTATTTTGAAGTATTTATTGTAACTATTATTCATGGTTTATATGAAAGCTGAGATACTTCTGAAACCCCCAGATCAAAGCAGATGACATTATGAAGTTGCTAGTATTTACTTTTTTATTCATACTATTTTGTAATATTGATCACACTAAATAAAACATTGTCTTCTCTGTTAGCATACATCTTCAATATTTTCTACTTATTCTATAGATAAATGAATTATCATCCACTCAGTTAGTCCAGTTAGCGCATCTACTATCTAGGATTGCGTGCTATCCAGTCGGTGAATTTCATGAATTACTTACGGAGGTTAAATTGCTTCAATCAGCAATTGCCATCCATGTAATGAATAAAAAAGATGTCCTGGCTACACTTGAACCAACACTTATCATTCGCCTACTGTATGATTTACGGAGGTCGCTTGAAAAGCGTGAAATTTCACTTCTATTCACAGCTGTTTATAACAGTCTTGGTTCGAATACGTCTAACTGGAATTTGTATACACTTTCTTTTATGCTACTATACATGTGTAAACTAGAAGTATCTAAACCGTCATTGATAAAAGGTTAGTATAGTTTCAAGTATTATCTTGTGTACATTTGTGTGTATTGACAACAAGGCTCTGTTTCATCGTTTGTTTTCTCTTGATGGCTTATATTTCAATTTGGTTATTTTTTGTCTTACTCTTCTACAGCAAATCAGTAATACCACTTAGTAACTGCATTTGGTTAAAGGTATTGGATGGTGGTAGCACAAACATTTTCATATGGTCACTGATGAACCTGTCCAACTTATCAAGCCGAAGATGCATCTATGATTTTAAATCTAATTCTTAGTTTCGAGTATTTTGTCACTCAGATGATGTTTAGCGCTGAGACTTAGTGTGAACTGTTATCACAACTTGTGTATCATATCTAAAATTCCGTTTTCAAATTGATCAGTTATGAAATATACATGAACTACATTATCGTTACTTTCAAAGCATTGTTTATAAGCGGGTGGTTAAACCAGAAAATAAATTGTTACTAGATATGTGAACTTAATAACTAACCTTATCCCTAACCCACTTGGCTATCTACTTTTGTCGTGAACCATAAAGGCTAATGTGGATTGGCTGACTGATATGTCTTGAGTGGTTTAAATTTGCGGTTGCATACTCACGGTGATACGTTTTACACTCAGTTGGCGTTGTATTTGTCTCTGTTAATCTAAATGCCAGAACTTTCAGTCCAGTAATCTTTTGAATTCTACGTAGTTCCTTATTGTATACGAGTAAGAGTTGAAATTAGATCCCAAATACTTTATTGTGGTAGGTAACTAAGTGCTTCTGAGCAGTTTCACTTAACCTCAACAAGAACTTTTTCAATTTCGCTGTAATGTTTTTATCAATTTTTACATGGATTAAGTATGAACCTTTTGTTGAATTACTGTTTAAAATAGTATTGTCATCATTTGCAGTGTATTTCTCCTATTTTAATGGTGTTTCGTTCAGCCTGTTGCTTTAATTGATAAGTTACCTGTCTTTTCTATTTAGAAATAGACAGATAAAGTAATTTACCATTACTTGCATGTCGAAGGAAATGAGACGTACTCAGCTACTTTGCACATGTCCGTCCAGTACTCAGTGAGCCACACCTAATGTGTGAGGGCTAGTGATACTTGGCTACTGAAACCTCGGTAGGTGGAGTCGCGCTTGAATCCGTGAGCCAATGGTTGACAGTCATCTTGCTAAACCATTGAGCCACAGCTCCCTAATAGCATGCAACTGGACACAACTCAGTGGCTTGGTGCATCTGGAAAGTAAACATTTTAATTATGTAAATGTGATATTTGTTTGGTGTTGTCTGATCATCATCATCCATCAATATAGGACCAAGCGTGACTGCGTAACACTATGAGTTGCCACACCTCATATCAGTATATCAAGTAAAGAGGTTGTGAAGTGGAAGATGAAGAAAAGAAATTTCAGTCAAAAGAAAAGAGAAAGAGAAAAGGGAAGAATGAGAAAATGGTGAGATTCGGTATAGCGTTAAGATGAGGATAATTTATGCATACATCTGCACCAATGACATCGGTTCTGAGCCAGGCCATCACCTAGAGTCTGCAACCACTGGTTCTTCTTGTCCCATGGACCCCAACCGACTAGTCTGCATCGTCCCACATGGCTCAAACCAATAGTCAAACACTTCATACATTGGTGGCATGTTTTAGTCTGGCCACATAGAGCCTTTTTCCAGCCTGAACCTACTTCGGCAAGGATTGTGTGACGAGGCAGATAGCCACACGTGCCCCAACCATCTTAGTCGATGAAGGTTCACAACTGTGTGGAATGATTTACTTCTTCTGTGTAAAACTCTACACCTGACTTCTGCGTTACTCACGTGTTGTGGTGACACCACGGAATACGACCTATACTACGAATACACCGGTGGTCAAACACTTGAAGCCTTTGAGGTTTGTTCTTGAACGTTTCAGCACCCGGCTAGGCGATTTTATGAGCATTTAATACTTACCGTATCGACTTCTATCTAGAGAATCACTGGGTATTAAATGACAAATAACTTAGTATTCTATAAGTATTGACAACACTTAAATGTAGATTTTTTATAGATTTTTGAAAATTATTCTCATATCACTGTATCAGAAGAACAAGATCTTTTATCAGTGAAAAAAATATTTCTTTCCAACAACTTTATTACCAAGCTTTGCATTAGTACTTATAAGTGGAATAATGAGCTATTGGATTCCGACTTAGTGGGTCAATGATAATGTGCTGGCTGCGGAATCTGAAGGTCCTCGCCCCGATCTCAGGTGATGTGGGGTCATGGGTGAGCACTGCTGAAGGGTAGTCCCATACTAGGTAGAAACAGGTGTTCAGTGCTCCCAGGTTTCCAATGCCTATCTAATTGATATGAGTCCATGATGAATACCAACTTGAAACGTAAAGTAGTTACACCAGGAAGTCGCTCAATCAATATACACATGATGCAGTTAGTGGTATTAGTAGGATTTATTCAGCTAGACGAAATAAAAAAGGATTAATTGACGAAGAAAGAACTGATTTCATGTGAGGCAATAGGGAGTCAAATGCTGTCAAAAAGTGTATAGTGATGATAATCAAACTGAACTACGTGAAGTGAAACACCCAAAAATGCATTGTTCAGGCTAAGTTAAAGAAAGAGATGTCCCAGACCGCTTTCGATTCACATTTACCTTATGTATCAGTTATTCATAAGTGATAAAAGCATTGACAGACTTTTAAAGTAGTTCAATTTAACTCAAGAATATGAATCTTGTGGAGCTAAATGGCCTGACTCTACTGTGCCTAAGGATTTATGATACATGTTTACATCTAATACTCTGTAATTTTAACCAGTAGATTATTTTTATAGAGTTAAATAGTTAAATTGAATACTAACTTGTCTTGGTTTATTATTCAAACAAAACTTTTTTTGTTCAAATTTTAGTTGTTTAAGTAAGATATCGCGTAAACTGAAAATATCTGAATACCATCCATATGTTAATCAGTGTCAATGGGTGAATGCTATGCTTTCAGCTTTAGCTAATTCTACAGTCGGTTTTTATAGTACGTCTGAAAATCTTGAAGAAGAATTACAGTCTTACATCCAACCACCAGTTTTTGATTCTTCCATTAATGACAACAAGCAAATGAGAAAAGGCGTATGCGATATTCATATAATGTTCACTGCTGATTGGGTTCAACAGTTATTCAGTGAAATATCACATCATGCTACAACTCAACCGGTTTCAGATTCAAATGCTTTAAAGTGTTTAGCACAGCTTGTTTATTCATTATCTTTGTTTGGCTACCAGGCGAATTCAATTATTAAACATTACAATGAGGCTGAGAAGATAATTAACAACGACGCTTCCATGTCCACTACGACTGAGCTTACTCAACCGCCATTCATAAACATGGCGAAATGTTTGTCTACACCCCTATCTAAAGTTGGCAGTGAGGTTGAGAGTAAGTTTGATGCAGCTGGATTGTCTTACCTTTATTGTTATCATTCATTGATATTTGTAATTCGTCTTTGTTGTCCTGGATCGACTTAATCGACTTCTGTTGGTATGTGAGCTTCTATGTTGATGCCTCTATATTGCCTGAATATTCATTTGATATAATTTTCTTGATGGTAGCCAACAATGTAATTCAGGACATGGGTTTCGTCTTATTTGAGACTCGTCATCGGGATGTACCTACACACCCAGTGGATGATTATCTTCCCATTGAGACTGGAATATCGTAAGCATTGCGCGTCGTGAATTCCACTTCTAGCTGCCCCCAACCAAGTTATGACGGTGTTTGGGCTTTTATTTATTTGTTAATCTGAGTCTAATAGTTTGATAACTGGTGTATTTCAGGATGTTATATTGATCTCGGTGACTAGCAGAGGAATCCGGGACGTGTTTCGTCCTATTTAGGACTCATCGACTGGATGTACCTGCACCCCAATGAATGGTATTTTTCCCGCTGAGGCTCGAACCCAGTACCCTTTTCTCTAAACGCCAGAGTGTTATCCACTAAGCCAATGGGGCACGATGCCCACCTCTTGTACAGCGGGCATCAGTTGTTATTATGATACTTGTAATTTTCCGTTACTATTTCAAGTTTTGTGTTGTAAGAATAAAACTTTAGTGCATATTTGATACCACTTTCACGGTCCTGAATTTTGTTGTTTTTTTCGTTTGCGTATCACAATTTAGTCATTACATTAAAGAGTTAAAAACGTTATTGTTGTAAAAGTTTTAGTTCAAATTGTAAATGGCGTTCAACGTAAACAAAGTAATAGTCGCTCACTGTTGAACTTCACTGAAGTCTAAAGTTAATAGAGATGCAGAGATGCAGGCATGAATGAGAAAATGGATATAATGGCAGAGGGAATGTGACAATAAAAATTGATAAGAACAATTAGTGAACAAATATGTAATCATTCTTAAACTATTATTATGTTTAGATCCTTCAAGTAAACTTGAAATCCCTGAAACTCTTTCACAACCAAGTACTGTAATCCTAATTTTCGAGAGAAGACACTTGATCATGCATGTAAATATCAATACTGAATTCTCTTCTAAAAGGATGTAGCTAAGACTATTATAAATATACATAAACCGCTGTATTTTGCACATCTTTTGATGTTTTTAATACACTCTATATTCTCCCAGAACCTTTTCTGTTCTCCAGCGAATGGAGCTGCCATCAAGGGTGCACTTCGAAGCTAATGATCCGAGACTCTACACTCTATATCTATCTATGTATTATATATATATATATATATATATATATATATATATATATATATATATATATATATATATATATATATATATATATATATTCAAACTGGCTTCGATGAGGCATCGCACTGAAGTCCTAGGAACCTGAGGAATCAGATGGAATGGAAGTGGACTCTCCAAACTATCAACTGGAGAATCAATAATCTACTTCAATATTGTCACCCAGACAACAACCACAAGCACAGCACACTGAGTTTTGGAGTGGCTATCATGATGTCCCCAACAGCATCGAAAACTCTATCCCATGCAGTGGGAACCAATCTCCTCCTGCAGGATCATGACAGCAAGATGGATTCAACTCAAAAGGAAAGAAAGTCACAATCATACAATGCTATGCACCTATAAATAATGCAGATCAAGAGAAGAAGGAGGAATTCTACAGACAACTGCAATCAGTACTGGACAAAACCCCTACCCAGTTGGCGACATCAAAGTTCATCTTAATAGGTGGGGTGACATAAACACCATACTGGGAGCAGACAACACAGGAAGAGAACTAACCATGGGAAGAGAAGCGCTTGGTGAAATGAATGAGAATGGAGAACTGTGCAGACTTCTGCGCATTCAACGATTTGGTGATTGGAGGCACTATGTACCAACACAAGGATATTCACAAAGCCTACTTGACACAACATGAAGAAGGGGAGCAGATGTAGGTTCACACCACTATCTAGTGCAAGGAACCTTTCAAATCAACTTGAAAGCCTTCAAGAAAGTTGGTGACAGACCACAGTTGAAGTTCAATACTCTGAACAGAAACTGCAAAGGAAATCTTCACGTCAGCCATCAAGACAAAATGGGAGATAACGAGCAACATCCCTGAAGAGACCTGTGTGGATGAGCACTGGAACTCTTTGAAAGAGATGTGGAAAGAAACCTGCACAGTGGTATTAGGAAGGAAGAAGAAAGAAGACAAGGAATGGATCTCGATGGACACATGGAAGCTGATAGAGCAGGGAGAGGAAGATGGTGAAGCAGAAACAGAACCAGTGCAGTGCAGTGCAGTGCAGTGCAGGGATGAACAACAAACAGAAGAAAGAGTACAACGTGTAAAACACTACACTGGACAAAGAAGTGAAGAAGAGTGAGCGCAAAGACAAACGATACTTCTACGACACACTGGCAAGTGAAGCAGAACAGGCTACTGGTAGGAGAGAGAGACCTGACAACATTGTGTCAAATAACCAGGTTACTATCTGGTAGTCAAGAGATCAACACAGATGAAGCCAATGAAAGATGATGAAGGAAATCTAATCACCAAATAAGAGAAACAAAAGAAACGATAGGCTGACCACTTCAAAAAGCTCTTGAATCGACCACCACCTGCACTTCGTTCAGAAATACCACCTGCAGCCACAGAACTAAAAGTGAACACAAATCCTCAAACATAAGTCGGAGTCCTGAGTGCCATAAGGCTACCGAAATGCGGGAAAGCAGCAGGACCAAATGGAATCCCGCCAGAAGCACTGAGAACAGACGCGGAGACAACAGCAGACATGCTCACACCACTACTGCCGAAGGTCTGGAAGGAAGGAAAGGTACCTGCTTACTGATGGGAAGAAGGGCTATCTTGTCAAACTCCCGAAGAAGGGCGACCTAAGTGTTTGCAAGAACTGGTGTGGAATCACTCTCCTGTTCACCCAAAGCAAAATATTAGGCCGCATCATCCTGGAAAAACTAAAAAATGCTCTGATTTCAAAATTACGATTCGAACAGGGTGGATGGCTTCAGGAAGAACAAGTTATATGCGGATGAAATTCCAACGCTACGCTAAGCATCATCATGGAACAGAACACAGAATGGCAATCAACTCTCTACCTTACCTCAACTTCACCCACTTTGAAAAAACATTCGACAGCGTCGACCGACAAGTAATTTGGAAACCAGCTGCTTCAACACTACGGAATACCACAAACTTTTATCAATCTCATTTAACAACTATATGAAAAAGCCACATGGCAAGTAATTCACAATGGGAAGCTTAGTGATGCTTTTGAAGTGAGGATAGGAAGGAGTGAAAGAAGGCTGCCTACTATCACCCATGATATTCCTGATTGTAGTGGACCGAATCATGCAACAAACTGTGAGAAGAGGGGTATACGCTGGTTGGACCGCGGAAAAGAACCTAGAAGATTTGGATCTTGCCGATGACTTGGGTCTGATGCCGCACAAACTCCAAGATCTACAGGCGAAAACTAACAAGTTGGCAGAAGAGGCGAGGCAGCGAAGACGGGACTTCAAATGAACGTAGAGAAGACAGAGGTGATGAAGATACCACAACAACAACAACAAACTCCAGTCACCATCAACGGGAGAAACTTAAAGGAAGTAGTCTCTTTCAGCTATCTAGGCAGCACTGTTTCAACTACAGGCGGCGCCGGCACAGACGAGGATGTCAAAGTCAGGATCGGAAAGACAGCAAGACAGGCGTTCATTAACCTGAAACCGGTGTGGAGATCTCCTGCACTCAGCATGTGCGTGAACAAGATCCGGATTTTCAACACCAACGTCAAGTCAGTGCTTCTGTATGCTTCAGAGACTTGGAGCGTTACAAAAGGCATTTCCAATAAACTACAGACATTCATTAACATCTACCGCCTACGCTCACTCGATACTGACACTGAAGATCAGATGGCCAGAATGATAAGAATGAGCAACAAGGAACTCTGGGAACGAACCAAGCAAGAACCTATCACTCAACAAATATGCAGAAGAAAGTGGAGATGGATTGGGCATACATTGAGAAGGCCGACTGGGGAGCGACGAGTTGGGTGTCCGAGGTGAGGCTGACATGGTGGAGATCGTGTGAGGAGGAAATGAGAGCATGTGGACTGTCGTGGAACCAGGTTTAAAAGTTTGCAGAGAACAGAGTGCACTGTAGACGTGCTAGTGAAGTTCTATGTTCAATTAGGAACCCAAGGGGCAAATAATGATATAATAATATATGTATATATATCCACGTCTGAAATCGTTAAAACATGTAATCGCTACTATTTTAATGTAGTAAAATCAGCAAATAAGTGCTGTATTCTCTGAAAGATGACCATAAGAAACCAATATGCACTTTAAAAGTGTAATTTTGATTCATTAAACCTGTTATCTGTGTATATTTTTATGTTGCTCCTTATTATTATTATTATTATTATTATTATTATTATTATTATTATTATTAATCCCTTGGGTTCCTAATGGAACATAGGGCTTCACTACCACGTCTCCAGTGAACTCTGTTCTCTGAAACCTTTTGAACCTGCCCCCACGACAGCCCACAAGCTCTCATTTCCTCCTCGCACGATCTCCTCCATGTCACCCTCACCTCGGACACCCAACTCGTCGCTTCCCATGGGGATTCCACTCGAGCAACTGGCCTGACGCGTGATGTACACAGTCGGCCTTCTCAATGTATGCCCAATCCATCTCCACTTCCTCCTGCATATTTGTTGGGTGATAGCTTCTTGGTTGGTTCGTTGGCTGGCCAGAGTTCCTTGTTGCTTATTCTTTCTGGCAATCCATCTGGTCTTCAGTAGCGAGCCAGCGTAGGCAGTTGTTGATGAATGTCTGTAGTTTATTGGAAATGCCTTTTGTAACGCTCCAAGTCTCTGAAGCATACAGAAGCACTGACTTGACGTTGGTGTTGAAAATCCGGATCTTGTTCACGCACATGCTGAGTGCAGGAGATCTCCACACCGGTTTCAGGTTAATGAACGCCTGTCTTGCTGTCTTTCCGATCCTGACTTTGACATCCTCGTCTGTGCCGGCGCCGCCTGTAGTTGAAACAGTGCTGCCTAGATAGCTGAAAGAGACTACTTCCTTTAAGTTTCTCCCGTTGATGGTGACTGGAGTTTGTTGTTGTTGTTGTGGTATCTTCATCACCTCTGTCTTCTCTACGTTCATTTGAAGTCCCGTCTTCGCTGCCTCGCCTCTTCTGCCAACTTGTTAGTTTTCGCCTGTAGATCTTGGAGTTTGTGCGGCATCAGACCCAAGTCATCGGCAAGATCCAAATCTTCTAGGTTCTTTTCCGCGGTCCAACCAGCGTATACCCCTCTTCTCACAGTTTGTTGCATGATTCGGTCCACTACAATCAGGAATATCATGGGTGATAGTAGGCAGCCTTCTTTCACTCCTTCCTATCCTCACTTCAAAAGCATCACTAAGCTTCCCATTGTGAATTACTTGCCATGTGGCTTTTTCATATAGTTGTTAAATGAGATTGATAAAAGTTTGTGGTATTCCGTAGTGTTGAAGCAGCTGGTTTCCAAATTACTTGTCGGTCGACGCTGTCGAATGTTTTTTCAAAGTGGGTGAAGTTGAGGTAAGGTAGAGAGTTGATTGCCATTCTGTGTTCTGTTCCATGATGATGCTTAGCGTAGCGTTGGAATTTCATCCGCATATAACTTGTTCTTCCTGAAGCCATCCACCCTGTTCGAATCGTAATTTTGAAATCAGAGCATTTTTTAGTTTTTCCAGGATGATGCGGCCTAATATTTTGCTTTGGGTGAACAGGAGAGTGATTCCACACCAGTTCTTGCAAACACTTAGGTCGCCCTTCTTCGGGAGTTTGACAAGATAGCCCTTCTTCCCATCAGTAAGCAGGTACCTTTCCTTCCTTCCAGACCTTCGGCAGTAGTGGTGTGAGCATGTCTGCTGTTGTCTCCGCGTCTGTTCTCAGTGCTTCTGGCGGGATTCCATTTGGTCCTGCTGCTTTCCCGCATTTCGGTAGCCTTATGGCACTCAGGACTCCGACTTATGTTTGAGGATTTGTGTTCACTTTTAGTTCTGTGGCTGCAGGTGGTATTTCTGAACGAAGTGCAGGTGGTGGTCGATTCAAGAGCTTTTTGAAGTGGTCAGCCTATCGTTTCTTTTGTTTCTCTTATTTGGTGATTAGATTTCCTTCATCATCTTTCATTGGCTTCATCTGTGTTGATCTCTTGACTACCAGATAGTAACCTGGTTATTTGACACAATGTTGTCAGGTCTCTCTCTCCTACCAGTAGCCTGTTCTGCTTCACTTGCCAGTGTGTCGTAGAAGTATCGTTTGTCTTTGCGCTCACTCTTCTTCACTTCTTTGTCCAGTGTAGTGTTTTACACGTTGTACTCTTTCTTCTGTTTGTTGTTCATCCCTGCACTGCACTGCACTGCACTGCACTGCACTGCACTGCACTGCACTGGTTCTGTTTCTGCTTCACCATCTTCCTCTCCCTGCTCTATCAGCTTCCATGTGTCCATCGAGATCCATTCCTTGTCTTCTTTCTTCTTCCTTCCTAATACCACTGTGCAGGTTTCTTTCCACATCTCTTTCAAAGAGTTCCAGTGCTCATCCACACAGGTCTCTTCAGGGATGTTGCTCGTTATCTCCCATTTTGTCTTGATGGCTGACGTGAAGATTTCCTTTGCAGTTTCTGTTCAGAGTATTGAACTTCAACTGTGGTCTGTCACCAACTTTCTTGAAGGCTTTCAAGTTGATTTGAAAGGTTCCTTGCACTAGATAGTGGTGTGAACCTACATCTGCTCCCCTTCTTCATGTTGTGTTGCGTAGGCTGTATCTCAGCTTTCATGAGTTTGGTATAGAGTGAATCCAATTTGTGGTGTGGCCTGGTGTGTGTTGAAATTAAATCCATGTCGCTTTGTGAATATCCTTGTGTTGGTACATAGTGCCTCCAATCACCAAATCGTTGAGTGCACTGAATTCTAGAAACAATTCTCTATTCTCGTTCATCACCTCACTGAGCGCTTCTCTTCCCATGGTTAGTGCTCTTCCTGTGTTGTCCGCTCCACGCAGTTTGGCATTCATGTCGCCCATTGGAATTTTGATATCGCCAACTGAGGCGGTGCCTTGTCTAGTGTTGATTGAAGTTGTCTGTAGAATTCCTTCTTCTTCTCTTGATCTGCATTATTTATAGGTGCATAGCATTGTATGATTGTGACTTTCTTTCCTTTTGAGTTGAATCCATCTTGCTGTCATGATCCTGCAGGAGGAGATTGGTTCCCACTGCATGGGATAGAGTTTTCGATGCTGTTGGGGACATCATGATAGCCACTCCAAAACTCAGTGTGCTGTGCTTGTGGTTGTTGTCTGGGTGACAATATTGAAGTAGATTATTGATTCTCCAGTTGATAGTTTGGAGAGTCCACTTCCATTCCATCTGATTCGTCAGATTCCAAGCACTTCAGTGTCATACGTGCTCGTCTCGTTTGCAGTCTGGTCTGCCTTGCTTGGTTCAAACATGGTGCGGACACTCCATGTCCCCACGTTTACTTTCGCTTTCATCGAGGGAGAGAAGACACATCGGCCAGTTGGCTTCCCGAAGGCTTTCACCAACTGGGTCATTTCGCCTCTCCCATTCCAGCGAGGAATAAGTTTGTTTTTATTTTTTATATATCGTCTGTGCTTTGAAATTTCTTTAGCGGTTAGATTTGTTTTACGGTGTAGGGTTGCTAGCCCTATGCCCAACCTTCCCTCTTTATCCGGGCTTCGGACCGGCTAGTAACTAGTGAACTAGTTAACCAGGCGAGGTTATGTTGCTCTTTAGAAAAACATATTTCTTTGAAAAACCTACTAAGTTGTTCTGAGAAATTCCAAAAGTTTTTGATGTGCCTATATGATTCAAAGCAATCTTATTTGATCCTTGGGTGATGCACTAGCTCCAGATTATTTGTTAGCATGCTTTACTTGCCACCATTTCACAGTAACTAGCGACTAGATTTTAGTCCGCTTAACAGTAGAGACATGAGTTCCCAGTAGATATGCATTCAAATCACATTTCAGATTGGTATTCATTATGGACTCACGTCACTTGGAGAAACATTGGAAACGTGGGAGCAATTGACTGCTATTTCGTCCTAGTATGGGGCTCCTCAGCAGTACACACCCATGACCCCACACCCCTAGGTATGGAACCCAGGACCTCCAGGTTACGAAACCAGCACTTTGCCATTGAGCCACTAAGTCGGGGTTCACTGTTTCATATTTCCAACTTCTATCTATTCATGGTATAACGCACCCTCCATCCAATGACGTCTTTGGGTAACTATCCTCATGTCCAACTTGTTTGCTCCAACGGTCGCGACTTCTCATCAGAACTTCGGGAATTACCTCTTGAAGCGAGTAGCCAATGAGCACTAGTTTTGATTGATTTGGAAGTTTGTGGTGATTTATTTATTGATTCCAGGTTCCTCCAACTGATGTCGGTTCATGATAAATACCAACCATGATTCTTAATTGTTACTTTGTTTTTGTAGAATCATCTATCTCTTGGATTCCACGTGATGATTGGAGATTCTACTACCTTTGTGGCCTTGGACTTCTTAAAAGGTCGGTTGTAGATTAAGTAAAAATACGTCATTTTTTATCCCCAAACATGTATCTTTTACTCCTAGAATCCTGAGTGTATGCTTATCACTTTCTGGTAGATGATATTGTGCGCTAAACTGCAGCATTTTGCGCTATGGTTTTGTTAAAGTGTAGCTGATTTATTCGTGCAGTTTGTCCAGGATTTATCATGTACTGTCTAGGCGCCCGAAGTGAAGCACATCTAAGCATTTAGTTCAAGAATCTCTATGTTAACCAGATAAGAAGAGGAGTTGAATTTTAATCAGAGATAACTAATACCACAAGTATATGCGCTGTTGATTTCCTCATGATTACGGAGAATGATGCACTATATTCGATCTACAAACAAGAGTTCAGTGTAGAACCTACCTACCTACCTCATGATTTCTTGTATGTAGTCTTCGTAAAGTGAAATCGCCTACAGAATATGTTAGTAAATGGTTCACTTCATTCGCGACAGTGAAAGTTTCATTTCTTAATCTTTGACCTGTTTGCTACTAGAAAGAGTACTATAATAAATTGTAAGGTGTTCATAGACCTGTAACTGCTCATAGTGATACAAATATTGTCTGAGACAATTAAAAACAAAGTTATGTAACTCCATAATGCTTACAGCTTAAAATGTCGATATGAGGTGATTAAAAGTTTTATCCATGTGAAAGATCGATAATTTTAGCTCGTGTATAATTTCTACTTGATTCATGTAATTTTTCTTTCCCGTCGCAAATACACAACCCAATTTCTGAGCGTACTTCGAATGCTATGAATACTGAGCTCCACCAAATACTGTCTAGAATTTGATAAGAAAACTAAGTAGCTTCAGTGTTTTAACAGAAGCGTCAAGCCAAACAAAAGGAAGTTTAGGTGGAATTTCAGCTTATCACATTGACGTTTTATCAGCCCTAGTGGCTCAGTGGCTGATGAAATTTCTGCACGAGTACAGAAGGCTCGGCTGGCTTTTGCCAACTTACGCCACCTGTAGTGCCGCCGTGGTATCCGATTGTCTATTAAGGGTCACGTGTATAGAACAGTAGTCCATTATGTTCCACTGTATCGCTGTGAAACATGGCCACTGAAGATGGAAGACATGAAAAGGCTTCAGGTGTTTGACCACCGGTGTATTCGTAGTATAGGTCGTATTCCGTGGTGTCACCACAACACGTGAGTAACGCAGAAGTCAGGTGTAGAGTTTTACACAGAAGAAGTAAATCATTCCACACAGTTGTGAACCTTCATCGACTAAGATGGTTGGGGCACGTGTGGCTATCTGCCTCGTCACACAATCCTTGCCGAAGTAGGTTCAGGCTGGAAAAAGGCTCTATGTGGCCAGACTAAAACATGCCACCAATGTATAAAGTGTTTGACTATTGGTTTGAGCCATGTGGGACGATGCAGACTAGTCGGTTGGGGTCCATGGGACAAGAAGAACCAGTGGTTGCAGACTCTAGGTGATGGCCTGGCTCAGAACCGATGTCATTGGTGCAGATGTATGCATAAATTATCCTCATCTTAACGCTATACCGAATCTCACCATTTTCTCATTCTTCCTTTTTCTCTTTTAGTACTTTATATTTCTTCTGACTGAAATTTCTTTTCTTCATCTTCCACTTCACAGCCGCTTTACTTGATATACTGATATGAGGTGTGGCAACTCATAGTGTTACGCAGTCACGCTTAATCCTATGCTGATAGATTATGATGATGAGTTTCTTCAAGACAGTCTCTTGTCTATGGGTATTCGCATGCCGAACCACCACTCACCTCGACGTACCATGCTGGGTGAACCTGAATTAGGTTCGGAGGGTGTTCAGGGTGGTCAAATCAAGACGTGTCAACGGAGAATAAAATTTCTGATGGTTGATTTGACCCGTGTTGAGAGACCTAGACAACCTGACTTGTATGTCCGAGATGATAGGAATCAGTGGCTGAGAATTCTTGGTGACTTGACTTAAAATTTGTCGTCCTTTGATGTCTTCTGAAGCTTGGATGTTTGCACTAACTGTTATCTTCAAATTGTTCATTATCTCACAATATTGGTCTTTTTCTATTCACCTGTTCTCTGTGTACCAACATAAAGTGTGGCAACTTGAACGGATGCACTTGGGTGCTAGGCTGTACGTTGATTATGTCTGTCTGTATTCCTTTTAAATTTCGTCTGTTTACATTTCGTTGTTAACTGTATCCTATTCATTTGTTTTGAATCAGTAGTTGTATTCTCTATTCTTGCGTAATATAACTTTCTTTCGAATATTGAAAATGCTAAAAGGTTAACAGAACTATTTCTTTGTGAGGTACAATTCCACAATAGTAAAAAATAAACACGTCTGTTGTAACTGATTTTGGACCATGTAAACAAGAGTCTCCGACCGTTAATTCCTACTGTCATGCTATCCCCAACCAGGCCGTCTGCATCTCCCTACACTGCTGAGTTGGATACACACCATTCGTCTTCATTTTTAGACTATATATATATATATATATATATATATATATATATATATATATATATATATGTATATATATGTATATATATATATATATATGTATGTATATATATATATATATATATATATATATATATACTGATGGATTATGAACACCAAGTCACTTGCGCTGATTGTTTCACTAACTTGTTAGACGTAGGAAACACCTGGTCAGTGCCATAAATTAATCTAAGAAATGAAAAAAAGTAACTTTGATACCACATGCAGGTTTCCACACTGGGAAATAAGCCACACCTATGATGTGAGGGTTAATTATTTTTATTTTTTATGCACTCAGCAACTTTGTGCACATTCATGCAGTAGGCAATGAGTTACACCTATTGTATGAAGGCTGGGGAAACTACTTCGCTGTCCACCTTGGTAGGTGGGACGAGGTCTGAACCAGTGACCTAATGGTTGAAAGTCATCTCCCTTAATCTATGAGCCAATGATGTTATCTCACTACTTTAACCTTAGTGGGGTGAAGTGAACTTCAAACGTGTGATCCACTACCTAGACTGAAAGATTGATCAAAATGCATTTAAGTATTGCAGGTGTTTTGATCCTGTGTATAGTTATTTTATTGATAACTGACGGCTTCCTTACCGTTTTGTTTCAATGCTTAAGTGTGAAAAGATCGACAGCATGCACTGCATTGGTGATTACCATACTGGAAGTTATTGTTTGACAATATTACTCGTTATCTTATCTAATATACTATCAATAAGTTTTCACTGATTACACAAATTGCCTTTATCTGTACTCCATTTATCAGCCTGCATATTTATGTACTCAAACTAACCTCACAACATCCGTTTAATGAGAACGTTGAAGGAAGAATCATGATTGTATGAGGATCATGTGTACATAAAAGTAATAAAATATCAACGGAAGTACATACATGTACCGCACAGTATGATAATCATCTGCAATTTTTCAATCACTTATATAATATATTCTTCAGCATAATTTGTTTGGAATGAAATCTAAATTTTATTTTTGTTTGTAAAATGATTAATATCACTACTATTTTGATCATTTGTTAACTTTTTCATTTAATATCTACTTGTATTCATTTTCAGTAATATGATAGATAGTCCGTTATTTTCTGCTTACATATCGTCAAAATTCGATGATTTAAAAACATTATTTCATTCATTCTATGAACACAAAGACCTACTACAACATTTGAGTCTTGACAAGTTTCAGGGTATACAATATCTCAATGGCAGTAATAATAGTGAAGTTATATACTTTGCAGGTTAGCATATCGTTTGAGTATTTTTGATTACAATAATGGTTTTTTTTTACGTGCTCCTCGCAAACAATTTAACGTGTTATTTTTGATTGTATGTTGTACTGAAAACCATTATTTTCAATCTTAGTTGCCGTATATCTATCTCTATATTTACGTAAAGAATAAAACTAAGTAAGCAGATAAAAGTACATTGATTCAAGTTGCCACACTTCACAGTAGTATATAAAAAGCAGGTAGATAGAAAAAGGGTGATATCAAAGTAGGAAACGAGAAAACTGAGGCCCAGGAAGGAATGTTTATTATTGGCATGTTGCATAGTAGTCATCAAATATTGTACACTTCCCTGTAAAACAGTCATTTACACAATTTGCTTCGTTTCCTCTTCGGCTTTTGTCTTGATTTGCTCTTAATACACACACATTGTCTCTTGCGTTTTTCTAGACAGAATCTTTACACATTGCTGGTTATTCCCAATGATTTCTGCAGCCTTCTCAGCATATACTACTTATACCCATTTCTATCAGTAGCACCCACTATTGTTTGAGAGAGTAAAAAACCTAAAAAAACGTCAAACAGAGTGAAACTATCTAGATCATTGTGATTGATTTTTCGTCAATTCACCGAGAGTTCTCAACCACTGGTTCCTGCGTCTCGGGGACCCCAACCAGGCAGTCGACATCTCCCCACACGACTCAGACCAATAGTAAGACTTCATCGACTGGTAGCCATGTCTTAGTTTGATCACCCTAAACCTTCTTCCAACTTTACCTTCTCCTAACCATGGCACGTTGACGTAGATGGTTGTTCAGCATGCGCAGTGCACGTCTAAGCCATCTTATTTGACTAAGATTCACAACTTCATCAATCTACCCACCTTTATTGCCCAGAACACTTCGTCTGAGCTTAACATTCCTCATATAGTGATCCCACCGTGAAGAAATCTGTGATCAAAACCCTGTAATCGCTTCAAGTCTTCTACTTTTAACGGCCATATCTCAGCAGATACAGGCTTGTTTAGTCCCTGAACCACAAAGATTGCATCAGAATCGGTTATACCGTTTGACTCCGTAAACTTTAATTGGTGGCGCTGGATTCAAACCCTAATTGAATGCTTGAGCCAGTGTGTCATAGCTTCACACTTGTTTGAATGCACCTATCTTTAGTGGTGAATTGATTCATCACCAGAAATAGTACATAAACCATATCTCTTTAGAATATCTTAATATACTTTTGGTAAGGAAGTTTATCAATACTGTAAAAGGAATTTGTCTCAGGAATAGAGATACATATCTATATTCAGATGGCTGAGAGGGATTAAACCTCATAATGCGGACAATATTTCTTTGCCGTCCTACTAGTTATGAAGTTTATTCTTTAATGTTTCATCATCAGGCTAGGAAACTTCGTCATCATTTCCTTCGTAAGAAATAAATGCCTGGTGATGAAACCTCCAAAAACAAACCTAACAGCTCAGAGAATTCCAAATAGTTCACACGCATCTATACTCTTGACACAATTTTGTAGTAGTTCACTTTCTTAATTTGTAAAGCGGATGGGAGACATTGGTTATGCTTATATAACCCGCATGAATTTATCATTATAATTTGTCCCTTGGGTTCCTAGTGGGACATAGGTCCTCAGTAGCACGTCTCCATTGCACTCTGTTCTCTGCAGTCTCCTTAACCTGACTCCACCACTGCCCACAAGCTTTCATTTATTCCTCACATGATATACTCCATGTCACCCTCGCCTCGGACACCCAACTCGTCGTTTCCCCTTTGAATTCCACATGTGGGCCTGGTCTGGCGCGCGATTTCCCCAAACTATCTTCTGAGTATATGTTCAATGCAATCCAATCCGATCGATCTCCACTTTCTTCTGCCTATTTGTTGGGTGATGGGTTGTTAGTTGGTTCGTTGCCAGTCAGAGTGAGTTCCTTGTAGCTTATTCTTCTTATTCTGACCATCTGATCTTCAGTGTGAGTATCGGGTGAGCGTAGGTTGTAGATGTTGATGAATGTCTTTAGTTTGTTGGAAATGCTTTTCGTGATGCTCCGCCAAGTCTCTCAACCATCACATAGAAGTACTGACTGACTTGACTGAATTAGTGTTGAAAATCCGAATATTGTTTAAGCTTTATGTTGAGTGAAGTAGATCTGCAGACTGATTTCAGGTTAATGAATGCCTATCTAGCTGTCTTTTGTATCCTGACTTTGACGTCCTCATCTGTGCCTGTGGCGCCTGTAGTTGAAAGGATGCTGCCTAGGTAGGTAGGTGGAAGAGACTACTTCCTTTAGGTTTCTCTCGTTGATGGTGATTGGTTCTTGTTGTTGGTTGTGTATCTTCATCACCTCTGTCTTTTCTACTTTCACCTGAAGGAAGTCCTGTCTCCGCTGCCCCACCTCTCCTGTCAACTTGTTGGTTTTTGCCTGTAGATCTTGGAGTTTGTGCGACAAGACATTAGGGATGAATCGTCATCGGCGGCGAAGTCCAAATATTCTTCTGTTTTTTTTTCCATCTGTCCAGCCAGCGTATACCCCTCTTCTCGCTCCTCACAGTTTATTGCATGACCTTGTCGAGTCGAGTCGACGACAATCAGGAAGATGATCGGTGATAGTATGTGGCAACCTTATCTTTCTCTTGTCTTCACTTCAAATGCGTCAGTGAGCTTTCTATTGTGAATCACTTGGCATGTAGTGTCGTCATATAGTGTATAGTTGTTGACTGAGGTTGATGGAGGTATGTGGCACTAAAACCGTAGTGTTGAAGCAGCTGGTTTCCAAATTATTTGTCGGTCGACGCTGTCGAATGCTTTTTCGAAGTGGATGAAGTTGGGGTAAGGTAGAGAGTTGATTGCCATTCTGTGTTCTGTTCCATGATGATACCCAGCTAACGTGAGGGCAAAATTAAGATGCATTTACGTCACTGCGATCGATTCTTGGTGTAAGCGTCTAGTGTCCATCCTCCTCTGCACAGTTTTGATTAGCACTCGGTGACTTCATGAACTAATTTCTTGCTTTGGGTTCACTACCCTTTACTCTCAACATCATAACTCCACTTAAGTAAACGTTCCATGTTAGTTTAGATGGTGATTCTTCATCTTTAACAGCCTGGGTTTACCTCTGCGTAGCACACAAATTCCTATTAGGTAGTTGAATACTGCCCCATCTCCTAAAGTGTCATTAGTTGGCAAAAACGAATCGAGCTTTGGGTTTCCCAGTTGACCTTGCATCGGTCAGGTTTGATACGACATCCGAGGCATATGAAGTGGTCAGAACATTCGATTGTTTTACTCAAACTACAGCACTAGTTACCTCCAGTGCTTGTCCGTCAGGGCACATTGACCTTCTTTTCATGTTACTTGTATCTTTCTCGAAGTTATCGGAGTTAGAAGTTATGTCAATATTCTATTCAGGTTCCCGTGGGGTTAAAATGCAATCTGGAAGGTAGGTAGACTGCCAGAGGAACTATTTCTCGAAATGTTGTGCTTATCACCCATGTTCTCCCTACTGTGAAAGGATTATCTATTGATGCTTCTTCTTTATAGTTTCATTGATCACGACATTTTTTTCGGACTAATTTCTCCAATAACTTTAAATAAATGCTTATCAATTTTTTTCGCCGTTATTTTCTCCTCCTTTTTAGTCCCCACTGCTTGCCTATCATTGCTGAAATGCAATGAGTAGACTTTTTTCAGTCTTCACTTAAGTTGCTTCTGCTCCTGGTTGCATCTAAGCCTGCAGGATCGTTTTCATATTCATTCATCAGTTCGGATGAGACTGTTGAGATACAGTATCCCTTTTTTCATTTTTCTGAGAGTCATCTGAAATATCATCTTTTGTTACGATGAGCCGAAAATTGTGGTGTGCTTTTTAGGATGTATAAAATTGTACTATTCTGCTAACTGTCTGGCCGCCTCATGTTTAAAAGCAGTTTTATTGTTTTCCATCTTCGCTTTGAACTTGGAATAGTCTCCTCGCTGTGGTCCTCCTACATCCACTTAGGTGCAGATATACATGTTCTCGAATCAACTTGAGGCCGCTATCTAAACACGTGCTAATGAACGCGTTGAGCATAAATCTGATTATGTTTGGCAAGCGTTTCGCACCCCGGTCCAATAGCTGCAATCTTGATGTGGTGGTCAGACTTTGATATCACAATGACCCAACAAGCTACATTCCCTCGAGGTCCTACTATGCCACAAAGGTCTGTTAGATGGTTAGTGTCAAAACAAAAAGAATTTACAGTTGTAGTGTCAATTGCTACACTATGGCGCGGGTTGGAGGGTGAAGTCGTACAGATGGCTGGATGGGGCGTGACAACAGCAGTGTATTTCCCTTGGATGACCACCAGTGCCACACTGGTACTGTGTTCCCTTTGGTAAGGGGATGGGGGTTAGAAAAGGTTGATCCCTAGAGTAGCACACTCCTCCCTGAATCACAGTCTTCTAGTACTGGTGGTGTGGGGCTTCACTACCACGTCTCCAGTGAACTCTGTTCTCTGAAACCTTTTGAACCTGCCCCCACGACAGCCCACAAGCTCTCATTTCCTCCTCGCACGATCTCCTCCATGTCACCCTCACCTCGGACACCCAACTCGTCGCTTCCCATGGGGATTCCACTCGAGCAACTGGCCTGACGCGTGATGTACACAGTCGGCCTTCTCAATGTATGCCCAATCCATCTCCACTTCCTCCTGCATATTTGTTGGGTGATAGCTTCTTGGTTGGTTCGTTGGCTGGCCAGAGTTCCTTGTTGCTTATTCTTTCTGGCAATCCATCTGGTCTTCAGTAGCGAGCCAGCGTAGGCAGTTGTTGATGAATGTCTATAGTTTATTGGAAATGCCTTTTGTAACGCGCCAAGTCTCTGAAGCATACAGAAGCACTGACTTGACGTTGGTGTTGAAAATCCGGAATTTGTTCTTTGTGTTGAGTGCAGATTTCCACACTGGTTTCAGGTTAATGAACGCCTGTCTTGCTGTCTTTCCGATCCTGACTTTGACATC